GAATCCAAATATTTGTAAAACTGCAAAACATTCACATTATATGTTTCTAGGATGTTAAAATTGAGTATAATATATAATCATTTTAACATTTACTCTTTATTATAGTGTTTTGTACAACCCATAAATTTAAATTACCGTCTTCCCAAAAATATAAAGCCTTGCTAATGAACATTGAATATAATTTTATTAAGAAAGTTTATTACAGAAAATTCAATATATTATATTGCATTTAATAACTGCGGCCAGAATCACCTATGCACAAAACTGGAAAAAACGTTAGCATTCCCTCCGATAGAATGGTGATAAAAAAAAGTGCCAGAATGTGTGGAAATGGACAGGCTAACAATGGAAATAAAAGAGGAAAAATGGAATATTATTTGATTAGGGACAATCAAATATATAGGTATAACTGGTTAGAAATAGAAATAAAGAATAAGAACATAAAGATAATTAAAGAGGTATTTTAAAGTTCAAAGGTAATATATATAGTTATGAATAATGACACAATATATAGAACAGATATGTATATAAATGGAAAGGAAGAATAATGAAAATAACTGATATGTACTTATGAGTGATACTGGTACTGGAGCGCTGTAAAGATTGAAAATGTCGTATAAAATGAAAACTATTCAATAAAAATTTTTAATTTTTTTTATTACAATAGTATAAACAAACTAAAAGAAAAAAGAGTAAAAAAGAGTAAAAAGTGCAGAAAAAAGAAAAAATATAATAAAGTAAAAAAAGTAACTTTCAACCTTCATCACAACAAATATAAACAAATTTAATAACACTTCACTCCCTTTAAGGTTTCAAACATCTCTCTTCATTCCATAATTCCATTCTCTATCTGTGAGTTAATCTGTAAAACATCAGCCTTTCAATTCAGGTATGAGCAAAAAAAGAAAAAAAATCCATGAAATGTCTAATTTTAACTTTTATCAAAAAACCCACAACTTCATATTCCTTCCTTTACCTCTAGCAGTCTTAATCTTCGATGCAATCAAATATTGTTGAATTTTATTTCAATTCTTTATCCCTCCATACAGATTTCTTCAAGGCTTTAACTAATCTCTTTTGTACTGTAGATCCAGTAAAAAAAATTCCCAGTTCATTTTCTTGGTTTATCATTTTTATTTTCCTTTTAATTTTTAAAACTTCAGCTGATTTCTGTTGTATATCCAGCAAAGCATTCTTTTCCAAATCATTCTAATCGTCTGTCATTTGTAGTTCCACTTTTCAGTACTTTGTCCTGTCAGATGAAATTTGCTCTACATTTATCATTCCTTCGTTAATATCTTTGGACATTATCTAACCATAGAAGCAAACATCGTAACTGATTTTGTTGGTATTGTAGTTACTAATTTATGGTTCCATTCTTCAAAGGTCTCTTTAATTCTTCCAATATTATAATATTTTGTGTCATTTTCTAAGTTCCAGTATTAACTGACATCAAGAACAAGCTTGTATTTTGTTTTTCATCTGGTTAGAATCTTTACTTCCCTCTGTTATCCAGTTTCTACAATCATCACTTATCTTTGCTTTGATTTACAATATCCAAAATATCCAAATTAAGTCTGTTCCCCATAAGAAACTATTTATTTTTTATATTTAATTCCAAAATCTTATAATAAAAGTCAATTTTCCAAAATTATCTGGAACTTTAATCTGTTCATAACGTTCTTAGATCAAAATCTTATTTAGCCTTTTGCTGTTTATTTGAAATTTATTAAGTGCTTAGGCATATAATTAATTTTTCTTTCATTCAGAGTTGAAGGTAAAGTTGATACAGACTTCTAGAACTTGTAATTCTGAAGATCTCTAATAACTTAAATTAGTTACTAGGCAGTGATTAGAAAATGAGGTTAGTGAACCCAGTGTCCTTCAAAAAGTGCTGCCAGTTGCATGCAAGATGGTGATTCCCATCTTCTGGTGCTTAAACCCTCAGAAGTCCACTGTCTTGCAATCCGCTCACAAGAAATAGCCATCTGGAGCACACATGGGTGACTTCCCATCTTGTCCTTATCCAGAGAGGTTCCAAGAACTTGTCTACTCACCAATTCCTTGGTCTTTGCCTTGGTCATTGGCTTTGCAGAGATGTCTTCAGTTCACCATACCTCCCCGAATAGTCCAAAACTTTGCTAATGAATTGTCAGAATCCAAAATTCAACAAAAAGTCATGTGGTGATTCTTCCAGGCAGATTTATTTTTGTTCCTCACTCATAGACAGAATCTTGCCAGACAAAAGCAGACTGCTAGCCCCGTAAAGAATACATTCTGGCAACTATTACAGAGTTGCTGTATTCACCCTCTTTTTCGCACACAAAGTATCTGGTCTGAGTTGCCTCTTGCTCCTCTGGAATGTACTCTTTTCCTGATAGGAATCTGGACTATCATGAGCTCTAAACTTTGATTTGTGGCCAAAGATGTCACCTGGGCCCAATCTCTTATGACTTATTCCATAAATCCTAGTTAAGGAAACTGGCTTATTTCAAAGTGTGAAGCCAATCACTGAATCCAGGAGCAGCACCAGCTGCCTTGTGTCAATTATCAGCGGAACTTTGCAGCAGAAATCCAATTTTTTTTTAAAAAAGTTAAAAAACTGCTTGATGGAAGCCCCTCCCCTTTTATATGCATTGCAATATATATATATATGCTTTAATTTATATGCCGCCCTTCTCCGGAGACTCAGGGCGGCTTACAATGCGTTAAGCAATAGCCTTCATACTTTTGTATATTTATACAAAGTCAGTTTATTGCCCCCACAAACTGGGTCCTCATTTCACCTACCTTAGAAAGGATGGAAGGCTGAGTCAACCTTGAGCCTGGTGAGATTTGAATTCACAGTAATTGCAAGCAGCAGTTGTTAATAACAGTGCTTTAGTCCACTGTACTACAGGCTCTTTTTTAAATATATATATATAAAAGGGCTGGAGCTACAATCACACAGTTGCAATCATCAACCTGATATTTAAAAAACAAACAAATTCATCTTCCCCCATTCTTCTTATCATTTAAATGTAATATATCTAAATCCAGATTTTAAAGTAGGGGGCATAAATTTGTAACCAAGAGAATGGACAGAAATCCTGGAAGTCAAAGTTTAACATCTGGAGAGTCCAAGTTCGCTTTAATCATGAACTGCTTGCAGCAGATTTTATTGTTTATATTTTTGTAGGGCACCTGTAAGCTTTATGCATATGAACAAGAGTGCCAATTATACGGACCATTAAGTGCAATGCAGCAGACAGCTGCAATTTTTATATGGGAGGAAAGATTCAGAGCAAGGCTTAGGAGCAAGTGCAGCTACGTGGTTGCCAGAGGAAGTACAAAATAGTTGAAGTTCCTTAGCTAAATATAATTCCAGTATAAATAAGTAATCATTTCAACCCAGACACGGTTCAAGAGTTCATATGATTGCTGGTAAGACAAGGCTTCAGATTGGATGCAACCAGGGTTGAAATGCTCCCGGTTCGGACCGGATCGCCCAATCCGGTAGCGATGGTGGTGGGTGGTTCGGAGAACCGGTAGCAAAAATCCCTGCCACCCCCCCACCATGCCCAGTTGAGCTGCAAGATCATCAGAGGCTTTTTTTTTTTTTACTTTTAAAAGTATTTTTTCTACAACCTCTTCCGATGAAAAAATGCTTTTAAAAGTAAAAAAAAAAAAAGCCTCTCTTGGCCGAAGAAGTGGTAAAAAAAATGCTTTGAAAAGTCTCTGACGATCCCAACTGAGTTGCCTGATTAGCAGAGGCTTTTCAAAGCATTAGAAAAAATGCTGTGAAAAGTTAAAAAAAAAAAAGATGGCCACGCCCACTCACTCACATTGCCCCCACACACACCAAGCCACGCCCACAGAACTGGTAGTAACAAATTTTACATTTCACCCCTGGATGCAACCACTTTGAAGACTACCAAGAACATGAATAGAGCATCTCCATCCATCGCATGTAGAAGATCTCGGGTTCAATCCACTGGGGACTGGGGGTGGATTTAATTGCCAGAAATTCTGGGAAGGTGCATCCAATTCATCACAACAAAAGCCATAGAGAATCAATGATCCAACTCAGCAACCAGATTCTTATGCTACAAAATTCCATTATCATTGACCTATAGGCTTTGTTAGCATAAACTCAGCGGTAAGTCTGGACTACAGTATACTGTTGTGACCAAAGCCCAAGTAGTGATTACCAAACACAATTCAGTTCTCAGTCCAACTTATTTTATTAAAACAGCTGAGAATTAATTCATTCTCAGCTTAGTCGAAAACAAAATTCTTCATAACCAGTCCATCAGCCTTATCACCAACCTTTGATGTCTTTGGCAACCTGCCATAGGCTTTTCTTGGGAAAAACCCCACAAAGTTCAAAAGACGCTGACAAGAAGCACTGGAATCAACGTTGCTTTTCTACAAAGAACCCAACGGCTCGTTGCTGCTCTTTTAAGCCTTCTGGGAGGGGCCAATCATCTTCTGGCCTTACTCCCGAGTTGTCCTTTATTCTTCAGCTGCTCTTGCCTTCTGGAAGGTCTTCGCATGCGTGCACTAGGAACAGGCTCCTCCTGTTCCTCTGCCTCTCTGCTGTCCACCTCTGGAGGCTCCGGAGTCCGCGCATCACTCCCAGATGGCCCTGGCCCCATCTCTGCCTCTGATGGAGAGCCCTCATCCGGGCCTTCCCCAGCCTCCAGGACTGGCCCATTGTCCTCGCCAGCCTCCTCACTGTCTGACTCCGCTGCCAGGTCCATAGGCTGCTGGCGGACCACAACATATACAATAAATTGGTTTGCATAACATCAGGCTTTCAGGAATATTGACCCTGGACCTCTCTCGTGTCTTTTGACAGAGCTAGGAAACTCTATGACAAAGGTACATGCATGATTCTTATTCTAGTAAAATTTCCCCCAAAAGACAAAGTTAGATGTGGCATCACCAAACAATAAGCAAGTGGATACCTAGTTTATTTTGGCTTTAAGCATACACTTGTGGGAGACTTCACTTTGGAGACATCATCAAAACTGTGTCTACACAATTGGAACGATACAGAGAAGATTAGCATGGCCCCTGCGCAAGGATGACACGCAAATTCGTGAAGCGTTCCATATTTTTAAAAGGTTGAAATTTACTCCTCAGTTGTTTTTATTGGGTATAATTATGGATTATACAGCATTAGAGACTAAACTGATTTTAAACTTAATATCAGCAGCTAGGCTGTTGGTAGCGCAATACTGGAAGAAGGGTTCTTTTGTCTACTATTGAAGAATGGACATTGAAAGTAGTGAATTTAGCAGAAATGGCGAAAATTTCAGCGTATTTGAAGGACTATACACAAGAAAGATACATATCGGAATGGAGAAGATGGATTGATTATATTCAAAATAAGTATCAGACAAGAAAATATCAAATAGCTTATAAATGAATGTTAAACTCTAGAAGTATTATGTTACCCATAGCGGAGTTAAGGTTTCAGGGGGGGATTTGGTAGTTTAAGAATAGTTAGGTTAATTTAGTTTATGATTGTTAATCGAAATATCCTGTATTTTGCTCTGGGAAGTCTGGGGGGAGGGTGGGATGGGAAGGGGGGAAGGGATGTGGGGGTGGTTGGGAGGGGAAAAGGGTGGGGGGAATATTGGGGGGGGGATTTTCTTTGTAAAACTTTTTAATAAAAAAAAAACTGTGTGTTCAAATCCATCCATAGGTTCGATGGACCTTTGCACACTTTTACTGAATTATCAGATTGAATCAGTTCAATCTGCAAAGTTTAATAAATCTTTTGAAATGCTTCACAAATTCATGTCAGCTGTTGGCTAATTTGCATAGTGTGCACTCCTTAGTTACCCATCCTCTACAGTTTCTAACAGGTCCAATAAAACTATACCTCCTTCCCTCCTTCCTCTTCCTCTTTTGCACTAGAAGGAATGTTCTGATTTATATCAGAAGTTTAATCCAAGTTTGTACTTCACAGGATGGGAAAAGGGTAAAGGTCTCCATTGATGTGAGGTAGGAGACCCATGCTTGTATTTTAAAAATAATTCACACAATTGCTAATTACATGAATACAGCCTACTTAGATTAACTCTCATACATACATTTTTCGATGTATACTTGAGAAAATAATGTGTACATGATTACTTTTAAGGCAGGGGTGTCAAACTCGATTTCATTGAGGGTGGCATCAGGGTTATGTTTGACCTGGGGGCGCGTGGTCAGGATGGGCATGGCCAGCTCGACGTCACTCATGTCAGGGGCGCCTGTGGTGGCACAAGCGCTCTGCCAGCAAAAACAAAGCTCGGGAGGGCTGCACAGAGCTGTTTTTGCTGGCAGAGACACCGCGGACTGGTCCTTCGCTATTTCCAGGGCAGTCCCGCGAGCCAGATCTAAGCACACCTGCTTTAAGGCACTGTTTCTCAACACTGAAAACACTAGGGAAATTCTGGGAGCTGATTTTCCCAGAATACCTAGAGCTGCCAAGGTTGAGAAACGCAGCTTTAAGGAGTCTACTTGTTAAAGTCATCATAGCTCTTAAAGCAGCTATGTCTTGTAGAGATGACTAGAAAATCTGAATTAATTTGGAAGCATGCATAGCTTGTTCCCAAAAATACCATTGGACCCTAACATTGTTTGCCCATCAGATGTATCCAGGAAGTCCATGCATCAAAGAGAAGAAAGCAGATACTATCCTTTTAACATCTGCCTCTCCCAGCAATTGCAGTATAGAAGTATGTTGTACTTGTAAAATGAATGTTTTCATCTCTATGACAAATAATTAGATTATTCCCGAAAAACACTGATTCAGGAGGCTTCCTGAGCTCATGGAATATCACTAGTCAACTTCTTGGGAATTGAGTAGCTTTCTTAATTTGAATCACAAAAGGTGAGCCAGAGATGCAAAATTGGCAGACGCCATTTTTTTTCTTGTTTTTTTTCCAGACCAGAACAAATACTAGAGCCGCAAGTGATATGGAAAACACTTCATTGCAGTCCAAGTCTAGAAGCCCTAGAATTGAACTTCTGTCAGATCTCCCCATTCTCGGTATATGCATTATCCATGTGAACCTTGAACAGGAACAAGTTGAACGTGTAGATGCAACTTTTGTTTGTCAATTCGTACTGTACATCCTGTCGATTTCATTTGATGATGATTTTTTTTTAGTTCTCTTGGCAAGTAAAGCATAGAAGTCCTCCTCCTTTTTCTCTCTTCCCCCAGGCCAGACTATGAACAATATTGATGCTTTGCATGGAAGAGTGCATGCAGAATAATTATAGCTGGCCGAGTTATTTTGCATAAGAAACTTCCTTTTCCTGGGAGTAAATATACAATAAAGCACATGACTCACAATCTACTGCCCCATCAATGACAGACAGAACCAGCTTTCTGAGATAACCACTTCCCTCTGCCTAATGGTAGGGCTGGAGGTAGAATTGCTTGGTCATTGTGCAATGAATGCAGGTTGCCATCTGAGCAACATTATTCATAGATCAGTACAGTGAACCCTTTACAGAAAAGATACCAAGTTTTGCTGGAAAATGTTTTATATCAATTTCTATGGTTTGTATGAATTGAAGCTGTCACAGTATCTTTCCCTTTAAGGAGATGGAACATCTCTATCTAGTCATCTCATTTCTGGGACTTGCTAATGTGCAAACCTTTAGCATCCATAGCTTCTTTAATTGAGCCATTGGGCTATCATAATATAAATTCAAAACACCACAGAAGTCAATGGGTCCATTTTTAACATCTTTTAAAATGAGTCATAGGTTGTGCAAAAGAAAAATTGGGGGTTTATGAGAAAAGCAAAACCAACAAAGCTCATCCTTTATATATATCAAAAGTCCTCGATTAAGGAATTTCCAGATTAGCATGTGAAAGTCCTATTTGAAAGTCTGAAACCATGTGTTGCCATGACTCTATTAAGTCAATAATGATTTATTGGACCAGTACAAAGAAATTTCACACTTCTGGGTATTATAGACCTTGTTAGGTCTGCTATGTGAATATAGCCGGCCTGTGTCTGTTATATGGTTTCAGCAGCAGATGGCAGCATCCAGGTCACCTGAACTGGTCTAAAATAAATGGTGAGCAGGAGAACACGGATCTTCTAGTTCTTGGACAGGAAGCCATCAGGAAACCTAAATCTTGTAAATTAGCCTGAGAAGCCAACAAGATTCTTGAAGAAGGCAATGGGAAGCCATTTCCACATTGTTTTTAAGAACATAATATGGATATCTTTATCCATCTCAAGGACTTTTAAAATATACCTAATGGGCCTGAAGATGCCCAGTGTTGAGGTAAGCACTGGTGTATTGAGGAAACATTTTTCCCGACATATGAAATGTGAGATTAAGTCATCACCTATAAAAATATATCTTGTAAGAGCTGCTGCACACACACATACCCCATTCTAATGCACATCATTTCTGGACCAAGCCATTTGCAGGATTTTTCATAGTGGCATCTGGCAGCATCTCTTCCCCCAAGTTAAAGAATATTTGGGTTATTGATCTCCTACTGCAGTTGTCATCATGACCTGAGCAAATTTCTTACCCATTTGCAAAATATACACTAAGGTTTTTGCTATTTGGGCATTGTAGTTCCTTCATGTCTTTAGGCCAGCGTTTATCAGGTTGGACATCCTTATTGTTTTGGACTACAAATCCCATCAGCTCAGTGAATTCAAGACACACATGTAACTGGGAGAAACGTACAATCTGTTCTGTGCATCTCCAGAACCCAAAACCAGACTTCAGTGAGCTACAAACCTGGCTGGACAGACCACCATTGGCTCCAAGTTAGAAAGATCTTCTACAGGACTCCTCCAACGGAAGGTTGGGCAAAATGCACAATATATAGTGTCTCCTATTTGTTACCAGTGATTAGACAAGCATGGTCCTTTAGGGTTCAGAACTTTTTATAGTTCTCTCCTAAAGGGACTGGTAGCAGAAAGGAGTCCCGGGGTCTCAGAAGGCAGAGGTCCAAAGCAACCTTCCATCATGTGAGTGATGGCTTGATTTGACCCTGTCATTATTTCTCTTTGGTTTACCATTCAGCATCTTTGTCTAGCAATTGCTTACTACAGCTCTGGACCCTGCATCAGGTGGGTGGGGCTTTCTTCTAGCTCAGCTTGCAGCTCAGAGCTCCGATCTTCCCTTAGCAAGAAAGAAAGTGGGGGGGGGGAGAGAGAGAGAAAGGCAGCGCTGGCTCTGTTGGTTTTTTCCGCCTGTCTCCCAAAGACGCCCCCTCGGTGCTCGCCTTTGAAACCTGCCCGGTTTACCCACCTTCCCGGCCTCCGACTCACCTTGTCGTTGAGGTTCTGCAGAGCCTCCTTGCCGGCGGTTCTCCGGATCTCCACCTTCCTGCCTTGTTGCCACGAGGAGACGGAGGGAGCGTCGGGTCCGAGGTGAGCCACGTCCCGCTGCTTGGCCACGATCTTGCCGGTGGGAGAGCCGCGTCCGCTGGAGAGGGAGTCGAAATCGATGGTCTTGTTCTCCAAGGAGCCTTCCACCGGGCAGAACATGCCACAAAATTTCTGCCGGGGTTTGGGGCTGCCAGAGCCCAGGTTTTTGAAGAAGGCTGGGACTTCCTCCTCCTCCTCGCCGCCGCCGGCCTTGGCCGCTTGCTTCTTCTCGGCCATGGCTCGCTCCGGGGCACGTCTGGCTTCGCCCGGTTCGCTTAAATCCTCTGGAGGAGACAGAAAGCGGCGGAGAACAGGCCAGCCGGCAGCCTCGAGGCGCGGAGTCTCCGGCCCTGGCTAGAAGCGGGGATGGGCAGAAGGGAGCAGCCTTTTGTATTACCTCTCCCAGGCAGGGTAGGTTGGAAGGGGAGCCCCGCAGGCTGGAGCGCCGGGAAAAGGCGTGGAGGGGCGGGAGAAGATGGTCGGTTGCAAGGGCAGCCGGCGGGAGGGCTGGGTTCAAGTTCCCAGCAGCCAGATGAGGAGGAAGGGGCGGGGGGGGGGAGGAGGAGCGGGCAGGAAAGGAGCGGAGGGCGAGGGAGGGAAAAGGGGTGAGAAAGCCCCACTCACTCTGCAGCAGAAATTAAGGATTGATCCGGAAATGAGGTGACAATCGGAATTGGCGAATTGGGCTGGGCCAGCTGCTTCGGAGGGGAAGCC